CCTCTGCATGTGTGGGCCACCAACCAGTCTCTGAGCGACTGTCATATTCTGGGCAAGTTCCGGGTCTTCACAGTAAAATCTCCTGGGATTCTGTTTATCCCACTTCATAGCTTTTCTTGGCTTACACATCTTATTATCTATCACTTTAGCTTATCTTTCCATCTTTAGAGTGTTTGCCTCTTTTTGTTTTGCAATAACAGATCTCACTTCTAGGTTTTGCTTTTGTTGTATGGTTGGTCAGTAATTAACTTGCATCTATCAAGTTAGCCTAGAGGTACTTGGCCAATTAGTTTGGACTAAGTTTACTAAGACTAGTCATGTACATAAAATTATTTTTCTTGGAGGTATAATCTGCCTTCTTATTACAATCTTTGCCTGGGGTGTGGATCAAGTCATAGAGTATCTGCCTACAAACTACCCTGAGTTTAATGTACCCAGTACAGAAACAAAACAAAGCAAGTTCCCCCAAACCAAATCCTGTATCCTTACATTTTGATAAAATATTGACAAAACATTCATGTAGGAACATAGGTTATAGTAAGAAAAGGAAAATGTGAATCAATGCATCTAATTCTGTGGTGTAAAATCATCACCAGAGGGGATATTTTGGTAATCATGCTTTATAAAAACTGGATCATCTAGGATGGGTACCACATTACAAAGGATCTCCAAAGCATTCCATGTTTTATAAGTCAATCCCCAAGCAACGGCCCTGTTGGCTGCTGTATTTGAGCTCTGCTTAAGTTCTGGTTATTTCTAATGGTATCAGAGGAGAGGGTCAGCAGGAAGTGGGCAAACCATTGTTTTGGGGAACCAATGAACATACTCATGCTGTTGAAGTCTGTGTGACCTCAGCTCAGCTTGTGCTTCAGCTCCATCCCCTTCTCTCTCTTGATAGCCTTTATTTGTCCTTTCCTGAGCTTTGTTACCCAGCGGCTTTCCTTCCTTCCTTTTTCTTTTCACCCTTGAATGCTTACAGGCATTCAGCTTCTGCAACTGTTCATTTTCTAGATCAATAAAAATCTATATTGCTAATTTCTCGCTACACCACTAGGAGTGTTAATATTATAGATTCAGGGTCTCTGGAGTGAAACTCCTGATTCCCCGCCCTAGTCTTCATCACCAAACTTCTGTTGGTGGTAAGCCTGACAGATTTTTCTAGGGTGAAGGTTGTTGAGGATTCAGTAGGTCCCTGTGTAAGCCCAATCCCATAGGAAATAAAATGTGTGTGTGTGTGTGTGTGTGTGTGCATGTGCGTGCACATGCGTGTGCATACTTGTGCCTAGTGCAATATGTGCTAGTATAATGTGGCTTTCATTAAGAATGTTGTCAGCTGCATTTCATACTAATTTCTAAGTTTGGAAGCTTTACCTATGTCCAAAATAACTTTGTGATATTAGGAAAACATATTTCTTAACTGAGCCAAAAGCATAACAATGCTTTTGGCATGTATACTTGAGAGTTCATTATGAAAATTATTTGGAGTTTCTAATAACAAATAAGTCTAATAAAACATGTTTTAACCACTTTTAAATGGGAGAGAGGTGTATCTAATTACAGATAGTGCGAAGAGACTTAGTATTCTTGTAGGCTTAACAGGAAAGGGATTGTAGGAGAGAACAGGGATGGGATTATGGTAAAGTTGGAGGGCTTGTCTCCAAGGAGAGGACACTGCACTGTTACTAACTCCCACGAACAGGGACAGGACACATTTCCTGCCGGCTCCTTTTCAGTTAGGGAGGAAGGCTGGGATAGAAGTTCTCCTCCAATGCTTACGTTGGGGTTCATTTGACCTAATATCAACATATCTGACCTTTTCTGCTTGTCTCAGAGATATACTAGTTATTACAAATAAGGGAAACCATGGGGTATGTTTCTTTGGGCCTGGCTTACTTCTCTTAGTATAATTTTCCCAAGATAAGTATTCAAATGTTTTTTACTTTCATGCGATTGTTTCTAACACATTTATAAGATTATTTCTTTGTTGTTTTGTATGTCCCTCCCCCATTGTATAACCCCTGATGTTGGTATAATTTGTGGAGGGGAAGGGGAAAAA